TGGTTATCCTGGTATCAGCAGAAACCAGGGAAGTCTCCTAAGCTCCTGATCTATGCTGCATTTAATTTACAAAGTGGGGTCTCATCAAGGTTAAGTGGCAGTGGATCTGGGACAGACTTCATTCTCACCCACAGCAGCCTGGAGTCTGATAATGTTGGAACTTATTACTGTGAACAATATAATATTAGACTCTGAAGAGAAACCTCTCTGCTTACCCTGGTACAACTGCCTGAATGCTTTTTACTTTGTCATTAGAGCAGGTAACATAGAGCAAGATGCTGGAGAATTCAAGTGAACAGGTTGCAGTGAAGGGCTCTTGGACCATGAGCACCTGAGATACACCTCATGCACCAAACATAAGACCCCCTTAGCTGCAAACAGTCTTGGCATGGGAGAACCAGCAGGAGAATAGAAGAGGTTTGCGCGCCCTCTGCACAACCAGACGTGACAGAAGAGAAAGCTGAATGAAATCTCATCTTAATTCTCCCAGCTTTACCCACATTTGTTCATCAGTTATATTCATTCACCATGACTGCCACGTAAAATCTGCACACATACTCAAATTTAGCAAATTTCACTAAAGTACGAAATGACAGGAGGACATCAGCTCACCTGCAATGATGTATTTCTTCTCTGAAATTTTTGATCATCTGGGCTTCATTTCTTCCATAGCTCTCTGGTGTTATCATAAATATGTCTTAATATTTATTTATTTTCTTCTGAATATATTGCAATTTTTCAGATCTTCTCTCAGATCTATTATATCCTTACTAAAAGTGGACTTTTTAAATACGCCACCAGGCCGGCCCCTAAAAGTGGACTTTTTAAATATTAAATTGTCATATGGTAATACTTCAGCATTATTTTGGAAAACATTCACATCTGGAACAATCAATAAATGCACATGACATTATCACACCTATGTTGAAAAATGAATGAAAAAAATCTGAGGAAACAATGGTGAGCATGTCAGAGTTTATAATACTTGATACTGAACATAGTTTTCTTGTTCTCATAATGAATATATAGAACTCTATGCTTTAAATATGCCACATTTAAAATAGTGTTTTAACAATACTCTGATTGATAACAGAGCATATCAGTTACGGTGTTACATCCTAGTAGAAGTAAACAAAGGTTTGAATTAACAAATAAAAATAATTCTGTTTCTGCTTAAGGAAATAAACTGTAATGGTGATAACTGCCTATTTCAAGATATCTCATGGTGAATATAATTCATATATCATGGTATATTGTATATGATTTTTGTTGAGTTTAAAGTTTGAATGGCAATATTTACATAGAAGAAAAAGACAACTGAATCTTTCCAATTAAACATGATTATCTCAATTTGTTATATATATATATGTATACACACATATATTGTGTATATTTACATCAATCTTTGAAACAGATGGAAGATTATATAAGAAGCAATGTGCAAATAAATATTGTTTGAAAAAATAGGCAGTTATATATTAGCCATAAAAGAGATGCTAAAGACAGTTTTGCAGACAGAAGACATGTTATACTAGATAGAATCATAATAATATGTAAAAGATGAATACTGGAAATGTATGTATGGATAAATATAAATTAATATTTAGTGTGCACAGTAACAGGTGTGATATCTTGTGCAGTGATATATAACTGCATTGCATGAAACATAACAGGACAAAAATAGTGTAAATGGAATTAAAGAATCCAACTGTTTCTGTTTTTCAGGAAGTAGAAAAACTAATATTTTGTATTATACATCAATCAGTTGCAGATAGCTGCTACATAGTAAATTGTTGCATAATTAACAAATTAATTTAAGGAAAATCTATAATAAAATATTACTACTTTAAAGGAAAGCAAGAAAGGAGGAAAATGGGGAAAAGGATAATAGATTTAACTTTAACTTTAAAAGTAAATGCATTAAATATAAATTATATATTTTTCCAAGTAAAATATTAAGATCATCAAACAGGATAAAAATCAAAGTTTTATGTTACTTGTTAAATATACATCTAAAAGAAGAAAATAAAATGTCTTTGAAATTGAAAGGATGGAAAACACACATCTTGCAAAGACTGAGTAAAAGAAATCTGGCCTAAACTTGAAGGCCAGAGATAAAGAGGTACATTTTGTAAGGATAAATGAGACAATCCATTTGGAAGTTATTAAAATCCTAAAACAGTACATACCCAAAACACTATTTCAAAATAGATAGATCAAAAATTGATGAAATAAAGTGATGAAGGGTCAACTCCATGTTATGGTAGAGACTTTACTCCACCTCAATAGATGACAGAAATGCAGAAAATAACACAGTAAGAATTTATAGGATTCAATCCATACAATTAGAACACTTCATCTAATTAAAGAAGAAAAAAATTACACAATCACCTCAATTGGTATAGAAAAAAAAATCGGACAAAATTTGGAAACTGTTTATATAGAAAGTCTATTAGAAAATTAGGAATAGGAGGGCCTCTATTTACCTTCTAAAGAATACACACAGACACACACACACACACACATACATATATAAATATATATACATACATATATATGTTCATATTTAATATTGAAAAAATGTTTAATTTATCCTAGGATTAGAAATAATAAAGTGTGCATGCCATTACCACTTCTAGACAATACTTTACTGGAGATCTTAGCAAACGAAATAGGCAAGAAAAATAAATAAAATGAATGAGTATTAGAAATAAACCAAACATTATTTACCAAATAATTGTAGGCATTGTTTACCAAATACATGATAGTTTGGGTAGAAAACCTGGATAGTCTAGAGATCTTAAATAATTCACTAATGTTTTGTACAGTGTCAAGGTCTTCGCATTTTTCATTAAAATCTATTCATAGATATTTAATGTTTTTTTTTTTTCGTTAAATTTTTATTTTGTCAATATACAATGTATATGATTATTCTGGCCCATAACCGACACCTCCCTCCCTCCTCCCTCTCTCCCCTCCCCCCCAAGAATGTCCTTTCCATTTGCTTGTTGTAACAACTTCATAATAGTATAGTTGTTATATCTTCTTCCCCACGCCCACCCGGTTTTTTTTTTTGTGTGTGTGTATGTGGGTGAAATAATTTGTTTAATTTTTAGCTCCCACCAATGAGTGAGAACATGTGGTATTTCTTTTTCTCTNAGAGTTTATAGGATTCAATCCATACAATTAGAACACTTCATCTAATTAAAGAAGAAAAAAATTACACAATCACCTCAATTGGTATAGAAAAAAAATCAGACAAAATTTGGAAACTGTTTATATAGAAAATCTCTTAGAAAATTAGGAATAAGGGGGCCTCTATTTACCTTCTAAGGAATACACACACACACACACACACACACACACACACACAAATATATATACATATATATGTTCATATTTAATATTGAAAAAATGTTTAATTTTTCCTAGGATTAGAAATAATAAAGTGTGCATGCCATTACCACTTCTAGACAATACTTTACTGGAGATCTTAACAAATGAAATAGGCAAGAAAAATAAATAAAATGAATGAGTACTAGAAATAAACCAAACATTATTTACCAAATAATGGTAGGCATTATTTACCAAATACATGATAGTTTGGGTAGAAAACCTGGATAGTCTAGAGATCTTAAATAATTCACTAATGTTTTGTACAGTGTCGAGGTCTTTGCATTTTTCATTAAAATCTATTCATAGATATTTAATGTTTTGTGACAGCATTGAAAAATATATATTTTGCAATTGCATTTCCGATTTATTTGCTGGTATGATATTTCACATAGTTCTCATGTATCCAGTAATTTTGCTAAATTTACCTAATCATTCAAAGATTCCTTTGGATTTTCTGTAATCACAATTATAGAAATATAGAAAATTTTCTTTATTCACCTGGCATTATGGTGTTTTTAAATGTATTTTGAATCATATATTGCCTAGCAACATTATATGAATTTTTATAAATAGAAAGATACCTGCTCTTTATTAAATTAATATCCATCAGCTCTACCAGATATACAAAATTAATTTTTCTAAGTTGATTTTCAAAAATCATGTCTCTTATTATTGATTATTTACCAAGCAGAACAAATCCAAAGTAAATATTTTCTTGTTAAAACCTTTGTCTTCGTGTGAAACAGTCTCTATAAATTTTTTTCTTTAATATATACTCCACCCCATTTTTGATTTTCTGTATATGCTCCTGGCACAAAATTACTACTGTGAGTTTATCTGGCCTGCCAGGATCATATGGGATGGACCAATGAATAATGGAGACTGTACCTGTGATTTTGGATAGCCACGTTTTTGAATTAGTGTATTATTTTTCTAGAAAGTCTATATTTGAGATTCAAAATAAGCAAGGAACTTAATTTAGTGAACATTTACTAATAAGATATGGAT